AAGCACTAGTTACACCCTTACTCATCTGATCTGGGTGTTACTGTAGCAGCATCGTAACCGATCTGATTTGAACTTTTGAAACCACAAACCACTTTGCATTTTCTAAAAGAAATAAATGTATAAGAAATCCCAAACTGATATGGAAAAAATACAATTATATACTTGTATATGTGGAGTTTGTTCCTTCATTATGCCTAAATGATTGAATGATTCACCACTGCCACTTCCTGATTTTAAAGTCACATTCTGCCAACCATTGTTCACAATTGTTTCCCCTATAGTATATAGCTCAAAGACTTCAACAGAGAATTTTATAGACATATCCCCAAAATTCTGCCTGAAGTTCTGTGAGGTTGAACAATGTTTGTGACAGATCAATCAATTTTTAAGGGTTTAAAAGATGGATGATTCATAGTTGCCACATATTTATGTTGAGCTTTGTGGAGTAATTTTAAAACTAATCAAACATAACTGATGCCAAGTTTCAAAGTAATAATGCCAAACCATGCACTCTTAAATTCAAGAAGATCACCCAAGTAGCTGTAATAGCAAAACTACTACACATCATTGCAGCCTAAAAGAACAAGATGAATTAACCCATAGGCATTAGTATCTGGTGTGAGTCTCGCCCTTTTTCATAGAAATCTAATTTAAGTTCTGGGTGCACTGCAGGATGTCATTGAACAGAGATACAAAAACAATATGTCAACATCAATATTATTTCACAATCAGGCAGGCCTTCTTAAACATTAGGTGTACTTTAGAATTACATTCATTAGGCATTAGTGTGTTGTGATTATGAATCTCTTTGCTAATTAAACATTAACTATGTATATAAACTGCATTGGGAAGATTAACAGACTTTACTAGCTTGAAGTTAGAAATCAGTGATACCAAAGGTGAGTTATTATTACCTCCGGGTGAGTTTACAACCAGTTTTTTATTTCAACAGGACAAAAGTCACCAATCAGCACCTCTGTTTTACAGTCTGTAATCTATCTTGCCAACACTTCCGGTCACCTTCCCGTTTCATATATTAATTTTTTTTTATTCTACCCTTTCAACCGCTGTCATCTCATCTCATATTTTCATTTCCTCTTGCCATTGGTCCTCTCAGCTTTACACAGGAAGTATCTGCCCTGCGCTTGTCACTGCCTCTCATCTCTCACTTTTGTCTGAGATGCAAACTGTGTTCGATATCTCACCCACAGAGAGGAACTGTGGTTCACACCAAGGTTTCTACCCCCTTAACAAGACGTGATCCTCCCTATCTGCCTCTCCTCTTTTGTTTTGCTGTGTCTCCTCACAGATGATCATTCTATCATCCACCTGCAGCTCATCTTATAGACACACTGCAGCCACAGCATGAGCATACGAAGACTGAGTGAGTACTCTCTGTGTGTTTGTATAGAACAGCTGCACTTTGTTCATGTTTTTAGTCAGCCAGGTTGTGGGTGGCTAGGTTAACCAATAACGCCTGTCAGATAGCACCATGTCAGTTTTGCAACATTTTGGTGATAATGATGACATACAAAAACCAACTTGCAGCTGAGATGATTGCTATTGAGAAATGAGCAACAAAAATACATAACAATAAGTATTTAAGATAAGAACAGTTTTGTTCTAAGTTGAGTCAATTAAGTTATCCATCATATTTCATTTATGTACACTATGTGATAATTATATACATGGTAGATTAGTAGTAGTTTTGTAAAAGCAGGTCTTATATATACTGTAAATTGCATGCATACTGGTATTGACACACAGAGACAACCAAGTATGACTATATGCACCCACACACACACACACGCATATATATGTTTCGCTTCATTGCTGCAAATGTTTGACTACTTCCACATCTCTCAGGATCAGAACAGTATCTCTGCAAAGGGGCATTTGGCTGTGACAGCTGGGCAGAAAGAGAGGAACTTCTTCATTAAAGCTGCATTCATTACTTCTTGTCAGAGCAGAACACAATGAAAACACAACATCTGCCAAATAAATATACCTTATAAAGTTATAAAGCGAACTTTGCAGCAAACAACTGCTTATTTACACATCTGGTGGACACAGATAAACAGCAGTTGACTGTAGCAGTAACTCTCCTATTAGCTCTGTTTTTGTCTTTGCCAACTGCTGAAAATCATGTTTTTAGCCTATATGCTCCAATATGTTTCACAGCCAGTTGCTAACTTTTTCTGCCATTTGGTGCCTGGCAGGTGGCTCGTCAGAGCTTTTTTAGCTGAAAACAGAGATGGATGAGAGCAGAATTTGTGAGTTGGAACACCAGAACAATGAACTAAAAGACCCTAAAAAGCTCTCTAGAGATGAGGGAAACTGCAGGATTTATTCTCTTCTTGCCATCTTACAATTAAAATATCCTCACTTTCCTCATGAGTTCCTCACACCTTTAGTTTAAAAATCCAATTGAGCGGTTGCATGACTATGAGTTGGTAGTACAAACACATGGACCAACATCATAGTTTTTTTTGCCACATAATGAGCATTTCATCTTATTTTCTTACTGTTCCCCTCTCAAGGTTTCAAGTGGTTTGGTAGCCTTACCAACCTCTCTTTTCGACGCTCCAATGAGAAAGGAGACTCCAAATCCTCTCCGTCGAAGTCTGGAGATGGCGCTGACAGTGGGGCCGCCACCACAACGATCCTGGCCACGGTAGCTGAGACAACAGTGGACGACATGGGTGCCATGCGTCCTCGCACTGCCAGCTACGTCCGCTCCAGTGACAACTATTCGCACATGGGTACACTGCCACGTCTACTGATGAAGAGGAGAGAAAAAAGTAATAAAGGTAAAGCATCAGAAGTTATGAACACACAATTTTATGAAACAGGACAACCCTTTTTAGCACAATGAACCTTTCCCCCCTCTTATTTTCTTTGCATCTCCCTATCTCCGTCTGCTTTGATGTTTATTTCTAATGCCTCTCTCTTCTTTAGGCCCCAGCAGCAGTAAGAAGAGTAAAGACAAGAGTGGCATCAGCAGAAGCCAAAGCCAGCGACCTGCAGGGGACCGAGACCGTGGCCCCCAGAAGCTCACAGCCTCTTCATTCAAAGTGGCTGGGGATGAAGCCAGAGTTAAAGCTGACACTGGGTTCAGCAAGGACTCTCTTTCTGACCCCAAGACCCAGCCTGAACCTACAGGTGAAGCTAATGTCACAAACTCCCAAAGCTCCATCTCTGCACCCAAAGCTGCGTGTGAAGATGTGTCGCCATCTGGTGGCTCAAGTGCTGCACTCCAACCAGAAACTTGTGACAAACAAAGCATTGCCCAAGCAGGTGCAGCAGGCTTGAGCCCTGAAGAGACTCCATCACCTCCACTCAGACAGGAGAATGATCAGACTGAGAAGGATGATGGGTTACAGTCCGTACCTGTATCTGAACCAAAGGAGGCGGCAGAGAGCAGAGACCTGACAGAAGGAGCGGACAAAGGAAACCAAAACTCTGAGAGCATTTACAGGTGATTTTTTTTAGGACACTCTGCTTTCCATGTTTTTTTTCTTTTTGAGAAATAAAGTCATTGAAGTAGGAAAGGTTATTGATTGAGGAAGACGGGAGAGGGCCATTCATTCAAAGGCCTGTCCTGTGACAGTTTTACTGTCTTTTTGGTATGCACACACAGTAGTCTAGCTAATGAAAGTTTTAATTAAAAATATGCAACGGTCATGAAGAACATTTCTAAGCTTTTATGAATCTATAAACTCATGATCGAATGCTATGCATTTTAAATTGTTAAACATTTTACTGCGTGTCAATCCCTCTCTCTCTCTCT